TTTTTAAATAACTCATTATAATAAAAATCAAGTTTTGAAGAAAAATTTAAGAAATACTTCTCCAGCATGTCCCATCAATTCAACTGTTAAACAACCAAGTGCATGTTTTGCTACTTCACCAAACATAGTAGCGACTACTTTCTCAGTATTATCGTCAAGTTCAACATATCCCCTAACACTTTAAATACGTTGAATATATTAATTTTGATTTTAATAGTGTTAAATTCTAAATTAAATCAGACAACAATTTTAAATTAAAATTGTAAGATACATATTGTGGTTTGCAAACCCCTTGACTTTTGCAATATATACAAACGAAGCTTTCATTGCATTTATATCCAGTTCCTTTATTACAGTCAACGCATGACATGTAATAAAATATTTGAGCAAACTCAATCACATTTATCTTCACCTATCCAGAATTTTGCTTTCTACATTAAATCATAATCAATTTTTAGAATAAATGCTAGTGTAAAGACAAAAAAATGTATACGTTTGTGTTTCGTACTATTATATTATATCAAATTTTGCACTTAATCATAAACCTTTTGTACATAATAAAATAATAGATAACATTACAATACAAAATTAAATAAATAAATATTTTTTCTTCATTAAGTTCAATGTACTTTATCAAATAAATTATTAGCATTTTTAAATTGATAATCTCCACGTTCATTTTGTTTTTTTAGTTTAATTTTTGAGAAATGCTATTCATCCCCCACTGAGGATGCATCCCCAATCTATGTGGTGTTAATGTGACATTAAATGATATATGAAATTAAATAAGTCATTTAATTTCACATATCATTTAACCAATCATTTACATCCACATAGATTAGGGATACATCCCTACTGGGGATGAATAGTATTTTTCTTAATTTTTTCCTAGTAACTAAAATGTAGTAGTACAAAGCCTTTTATATTTCTCATTCATTTATTATTAGATAATGGAATTGCAACAGACACAACATCAATGGCCACAAACAGTGGTTTAATTGCTATTTAATGGAAACAATAAAACTAACGGTGAAAAAAGATTTTCCGTTAAAACAACCAATTTCGATAAATTTTCCGTTCAAATAAGAATTTCCGTTTCATAGGCACTTTTTATATATAGAAGATATTGAAAATCTAATTTTAATCCAAGTAAGCTAAAGAAATAAAAGATAATCTAATATTGCTGCCGGTTTCCCTCCAACTTTAATGCTTTCTTAGCCTCTAATAAATTAATAATAGGATACAATTTTGAAGCTGAGATGTTGCAATTTGATCTGTCCAATATGAACATAACATGGTGATCAGATTTCTTTCCTGAGGCAAATGCTTTCTTTGATCAGTACAATCTTCATCTCGATCAGTACAATCTTCATCTCACATAATTTTGGTCTCTTCATGGTGACAAATCCTGCTGCAACGAATGTGAGGAATGGTAAACAAATAATGTAAAGAGTATTTTCATTAAAGAAAGAGTTTCTTACAAATTATCGTATCGGAAGAACACGGCCAGCCCCAAAATATCGTTTTCTTGCCTATGGATAATGGATATAACAATGAGTTCATTAATAGGTGAGCAACGAGAATATTGGATATGGCACAGATTTATTTGTGGCCAGAACAACAAATATTTCTACTCTTCTCTACCTCAGTTGAGAATTCATGGCTTCTTTCCATATCCCAAACCTTCAAGGTCCTCTTCTTCATAAACCCCACGTTCTTGGTCAACCCAAATTCTCGAAATTCATTGATAAATCAATCTTGATAATTCCAAAACAACCCTCAGCTTTCGAATCTACTCCCACATCCAAATTCAACCTCCATGAGATATTGGAAGGTAGAGGCCTCTGCAATGGAGGAGGCCTCCAACAAGAACTAAAAAATTTCCCACCATCCTGGAGGTGGCGGCCCCGCCAGTGTACACCCCTCAAGATCAAGAAAAGTCACCAGCAGCAGCATCAGAAATATCAGAAGATGGATTTGAAACGGAGTTACTAGGCTTAACTGGTGGATTTCCGGGCAGCCAACATGGACTTAAAATGTTCATTGAACAAAATCCACCCCCTGAAAAGGGAGGATCAGCCATTGTCGAGTCTACTCCAAGCTCTTCAAAGCTAAAAGCACCAGAATTGCCTGGAATGATAGCCATTGTCAAGAACCCTAGTTATCCCTTCTATATGTATTTTGGTATTGTCCAAAGAATTACTGATGGCAAGGCTGGGGTTCTGTCTGAAGGTGGAAATTGGGATAGACTAGAGCAAAACCGGTGGTTTCTGGGTCACGACTAGTTATAGCTAAAGTTCTTCCTCGTTGTAAAACCTTCTCAAGGAATATAAGGTTTTCAAGAGGCTAATCTTGAGCTGCCATCCAAGCAAGAATACCTTCGTTTAATAGAATATTTTTGGCGTAGAGTTTGTTTCTAGCTTGACGAACTAGAACGTCACGAAAATGGACCACCGATGGTGAACCCTAGATCTGCTATCCTTGAAAGCATGGTAGAGTAGAACAGTGCATGATGTAAATTTATATTCACCTATTATGAGAACTCGCTTTCGTAGTACTTTTTGTACAACAACAACAATAATAATCAGCAATTTAACTGGGGTTTTTTAGATTTCTCTAAAAGGAGGGCGTGTTTAATATTCAATACCGAATAAAAATGAAATGTAATGTGATCGGTGTCCAGCAAAAATTCATTCGCTTACATAATCTCCAACTTAGTCCAAATCTGGACAAGAATAGATAACTAATGCACGTATCTTATTTCCTCTCCTTTTGTGTACAAACAATCAATGAAAGACATTAATTAGCAGGCTCATAAAGTTTCAAGAAAAAGGACTCAAGTCGAAGATATGAAAGCCAAGAACTAGTTAAAATGTTGTTCCTCAATGCAAGATTCCACGAGATGTTCAGATACAGCCGCCCAACTGTCAGACGAGAAAATGATCAACAAATAGTAATAGAAAAAAGAAGCTAATAAATGCCAAAGCAAAGATTTGAGAGCCAAAAACGAAGACCAATTATCACTAAGATTTGGATTCTAAATGGTGGGGATATAGGTACATGTGCAATCCAGTCCCATAGAAATTGCTAAAAAAATCCTCAATGGATAGCAGTAATATTCCTACCAACCACCCAAAATTCAAATTTTTAATATCACAACTGAAATACAATGATAACTCCTGGATATTTAAATGCTTCAACGGAAAGCCACCAGCACATTGATAATAAAATAATTAAAAGTGGATTTTCACTATCAAGCATAGTTATTAAAATTGGACTGGGAACCGCCGTACCGGATAGTGGTCCAGTCCTAGTTCATTAATTGGATAAATAAACAAAGGAACCGGTTGAACCACTCAAAACCCACCTGAACCGGACGGGTTTAAGAGGAACGGGATCCGATTCAATGTGTGAACCGGATGGTCACCAAAGTATACTGCATATTTCAATTTACAAAGTACAATGTAGAATTCTTGTTTTCAATTTGCAAAGAGGATGATTCAAACCTTGGCTTCCTATCAGAAATTTTAGGTCATTGAGAAAGCTGGTGAAACTCTGATGTAATATGTGAGCCAAACATATATATCTGGATTTAGCAAAATGGTTTTCTTTTTGTTTCAAAAATATATTTTAATTAAAATTACGATCTAACAATGACCCATAGGTTCAACCACTAACTTGGTGACTTGATGATTTTCCAGGTCACCCATCGGGTCGGGTCTAATAACTATGCTATCAAGTATTAACTAAATCAAATCGAGGCTAGCTTAGTTCACCTAACATCCGCTTATTGAAACATCGACTTCTTTAATATATATTTCCGAAGTAGAAATGAATGAAAAATATATAGCAAAAGTGGAACCAAATTTTCCAAGGTGTGCTTTGATACCAACAAAAGGAAGAATTGAAGAGACGGGAGAAACGTTCAAGCAAAACAGGGTCTGAAGGACTAAGAGCGGTGATAATAAATTAATAAACCCATAATATTCCTATAATTATATGTACTCAGTGGTTCTTACATACCAAGATAGCCTCGATCTCTTCTTGAGACACCGGTGTCCTTTTGGGTTGGTCAGAAGCTTTTCCTCCCACAGACATGCTGGATGGAGACCTTGAGAAAAATGTTCGAGAAGCATCCCCTAAGGCAGATGTTTCTTGATGCTGAGATGCAGCACCTGAAGAGGAATCATCTTGAATTAGGTAGATGCAGAAGAAATATTTAACAGTAATCCATGTCAGGGGCGAAACTCAAAACATTTGATGCATAATTAATGCACAGAATTCAATTTCAACATATTAAGGCTCGTAAGTTTAACCACTATTTTGTTCTCCCCTTCTTAATAACGAAAGCCAACAATAAGCATGATAAAACTGTACTGTAAACAATAGATTTCAATACTTCCCAAATGGTTTCAAGGAACTATACCTCTGTGTGTGTGTGTGTGAGAGAGAGAGAGAGAGAGAGAGATCATGCAGCAACAATTCTCAAATGAAATTTCAAACTTGTGTAGAACCAATCCCTGACCCTTTACTATAGTTAAAATGGAAACAATTACAAGTCCAGGTCTCTACCTGGAGTAGTTGCTCCTTTATACACGAATGTCCAACATACAACCAATTCATCAACCATACTAGCACTCACTGATTTAATTAATTGATCACGGTTTATTTTCCTCCATAACTACACAAGGAATGGAGAAACAGTTTTGACTGAAGAATAGAAACATCTAGTACAAGATATTTGCTCAAGCTGGGATCATCTTCACACCCTCCAAAAAAGAAAAAATAGCCAAAGCAAAAACTTTTCGTACATCTTAAAAGTATTAAGACTTGCTAGCAAATTGCAGTCCGGTTTTATTTGCCAATATTTTCCCATCACACAAGAGTCCAAAAATATGCATCCATAAATAAATTTTCATTTTCTATACAATTGAATTAAGTATCCAACAAGGACACTCTAAAGTAAACTAACAAAATTCAATATTATAATCATATGAAACTCATTCCGCGGTTAAAACTTGAACATGGACTTATGATATATATCTAACATTCAATTTGCCTTTTTTTTTCTTGGTACAACGTATTCAGTTTCTAAGATCATGTGTCAATCCAGAAGCATACACTCTTGTATTATTACATGAGTCAGAGAGTAGGCCAATCATTTCTTCCAGTTGACAGAAAAAAAGGTCTACCTCTGTTCCATCTGTTATTAAGTCCTGTGGTGGGAGTTCACTTAGCAGAACATCAATGCAAGCTTTTTTCGAAAGCAGAAAATATGCGAATATGCCCAATGCCCCTTCAACAAAAAATTGTTCATTCAATGCCCAATCATTTCTATAACTCAGAACTAGCTTCTCATTTTGTGCTACCTCGATTTACACAGTTACACTCACATAGATAACTTTGTGGGCATCCAATTCTGTATATTGATGCTTGATAAACTTCTCAAGAAAACAAATAAAGGCATTTTGAGTTAGAAATTGTCATGTATCTAATATCAAGGTTCTAAAATGCATAATCCGTGATAATGCGTTTCGGTCGAGCATCAAGCATTAGAAGATGCGTGCTTATACGAAGCATATGCATAATTATGTGTTTTCCAATTTTTAATATTATAAACTGATAAATAAATAAAATAATGCATTCTTTGATCTGTACACATATTCTTTAAATTTTTAAAAAAATTATATATTGTTCGAAATCATAAATATTACAATTACTTGAACTTTATAAATATTCTTCAAATTCTCAACAAAAAGATATTACTCAAAATCATAAATATTACAATTACTTGGTAATCAATTCATACGATTAGATTAGACACCAACACCAAATTAAAAAATCCTATCTTGTGTAGCTCTTTATTGGATTCCAATTTAATCTTCTCTTCTTCATCCAAGTCATCTTACATGTTATCCGATGCAAAATCATCTTCATCGGGCTCTTTTATTTGAACTTGAGAATTTCTATTCTCTCTTGTAGGAGATAAGATATCATTATCAACCTCCTCCTCCTCATAACCATCAACCATCCAAGATTGTGCATTATTAACATTACTTACTAGTAAAACTAGAGAAAGACCGAATAAGAATGAGGCTTGGGCTTGATATGAATAGTTTTTAACTCTACGAAAAATTTATTTTGATTTTTAATTTTTTAAACATCAAAATCCTATAGATTGCTGTATATAATTCATGGGCTTGGGTGATGCGGGGCCAATTTGATGTTGTTGGGTTCAATTTACCATTTTAAGTTATAAAAATGAGCAGTACTTTGTTAGACCAATTTTAACATAATTTTTAACGCAAATAAACGAGCATTTTAGCCTTCAAGTGTGCATATGAGGTCAATGAAATAGATTGACCACATTATCACGTGCATATCCCATATGCGAGGCGTTTCGAAAACGCATCAAGCATATACGGACATTTTCGAACACTGTCTAATATATCCAAGACAAAAGAACTCTAAAGGCAACAATATAATGATTTACAAGTTGTGGAGCCAACCATATGAAAAAGGTCTAGAATTTCCTGTTCAAGTCTGCATAAATCACAATTCACTACATCTGATGCCTAAAACAAATGAATTAGAAAGTGGATCCCAACCATTGGCATTTTTATTAAGCCCTTGTTTGACATCCATTTTATTTCTCATTTTTTTTTCTCTTTCTTCATTTCAACCACACATTCTATCAATAAAATAATATTACACATAAACCCAAAAAATTCTTCTTACTTTTTAACCACACAATCTTCCATCAATCACTATTCCAAAATCTATTCTTTCCCCAAAATGGGTGTCAAACACTATCTAAAAAAGAGTGCAGTAGTGAATGGGAGAAGCTAAAAGGACCAAAGTTAGGTGGAAATGGCAACCATAAAGTAATAGAAACACATCTTTACTTCGGAGAAACCCAGTGATGCAGCCACATATGCACCTGTGGGTGCAGCACTGGAGGAGCTGCCGAGAAGGGAACTCATGGCCTGCTTGGGTGGGACTCACTTAAGTTCTTCTAACTTAAGCGCCAAGCTACCTAATTAATTAAGTTTCCTAAGGACCTTATGCTACCTAATTTCTATTGTTTTAGTAGTTGTTAGTTGGGTTCTTGAAGGATTCCTAATTCTTAAAGGATCCCTATATCAATTAGGATTTTATAGTTGGGAGTTATTTAAAGGATTGCTCTCCTTTCATTATTTTTTTTGATGTTTTAATTAAAAAAGCTGAAGATTTTTTCTTGAGAAGTTGCATATTGGCTTTAATTTGTGTGCAAATTACTGTTCAA